ACAACAACAAGTATTTAAAAGCCTGCTTTGACGATATGACACATACATACTATATGTATGTTTGCATATCATTTATTTTTGTTGCATTGGGCGCGAGTCAATTTATACTGACGTTAATATGTGTATATTCATATGTATGTTTTTTCGCAGAAAAATCGCAAACTAACGATTCTAATCCATTGTGGCGCGATCCCGCACTCCCCTCCTATTAACATATGAAAAGTCAGCGCTGCAAAGAATCGCTGAGTGACATGGTGTGACGCTGTTGCAAGTCAAGTGTTGTAGTTGCTCCGCTTTTGTGTGCCTACATAAAAAAATTAAAAAAAAAAAAAAGAATAGAAACACATAAAAAATTACACAATATGTGCAAACCCACATATAGTGTGTAAAATTGTTGTTGTTTTATATTTTTTTTTAGTTCTGCTGACAAGCAATTCGCATAATTAATACTTACATATTCATTGATGTTTGCAAAAAGTCTCTATGTAGTATGTATGCCTGTATGTACATAGATGTACTTTAGGAAAGAAATAGCCAATGTTGACTTTGGCGGTGACCAGCTGTGGCGCGACAATTACGGCATTGGTAATTAACATATTGGAAAAGTAATGCAACGCGTAAGTTTTCACTTCTGTCACAAAAATAATATTTTGTAATATGAGTGCAGTTTGAATACATGTGTATGTATATACATATATGTACATATTGTATGTATGCACATATGTACATATGTGTATATTAATGCCAAGTAGGTTGGGATCAATTTAGAATGTAATTTAATTTGTGTTTGACTAATAAAATAAAAGGAAAGAAACGAAGAAAAGAGGACAGCATAATAAATATAATTGTTTATATGAAAATAAATTATTATCAAACAAAATAAACGACATATGAGCAAAAACAATAATGTATGAAAAAAATTAGAATTAAAAAATAAAGTAGAAAGAAATGAAAAAATATAGAAAGAAAAAATAAAATGTTTAGTAATACTCAAAAAGTATTTAAAACAAATAAAGAGGCAAAATAAAAGAAACTATATCTAATTGTATGTTTGTATGTACAACAATAAATAATAAAAATTAGAAAAATAAATAACGGGAAATGAAAAAATTAATTAAAAAATAATAACTGTCCATATACAAATGTATGTACATAACAATTTAATTAAAATTGAACTGTTAAGTGCTAAGTTAAAAAGAAAAAAAGTTATAATAAAAGAATAAAAGTAAATGAAAAATTAAAAATAATAAATATGCATATACTATACATACAAACATAAAAAATATATATAAATAATTTAAATAAAAATAACCTGTTAATTGAAAAAATATTTAAGAATAAATTAAATTCAAATAGAAAAAAGAAAGCTAAAAAAACCTGAGAGATTACAAAAATCGTCAAAAAGCGGAGATAAAACAAAATTAATATTTGGTAACTTGACTGGTAATTTCCTATATTATGGGATGCAACCGAACATTTTATACTCTTCAAACTTGCAAGAATCAAAGCCAGGGAAATACTTAGAAAAAGGAAAATCAATGATATATTGCTACTTCCCAATAACTCCTGCTATTACCATGCCCCATACTAAAGAAACAATCATATAAAATACAGTCAGACGGATCCGCGAAAATCGTGATATTAGTTATATAGGGACTAGGTCAAATTTTTCGCACAAATCGATCTATTTTAAACACAAAAGATACACTGTTATGAGTAAAGCCCGCTCTCTAATTTTCATGGAGATAACTCAAAGTCACCCTGCAGTTCGAAAATCTTTATTTACCAGATTCAACGCATTTTTGAAATACAGACATATCATTGTCAGAGAAGTACTATCCATGAATTTTAATTATATACCTAAGACATTGACCGATATTTTTGACCAAAAGTCAATTATTGATACTGGGGTGGAAATATTCGGTACCTAGCGGCGTGAATAGTTTTCGTTGGATTAGAAAAATGTTTGGTCATATAGTGGCATACACTAAAGGAATTATTCGAGCAAAAGTTTAACCCGTTATATTAATTGCTTCTTGATTTGTACACTGGAAAGTAAAAGAATCAAATAGAATTTAAAATTGTGCTTGATGGGAAGTAGGCGTGGTTGTTGTCCGATTTCGCTCATTTTCACAACGTAACACAAGAACATAAAAATAAAGTCACGTATCAAATTTCGCCGAAATCGTTTAGTCGGGTCCCGAGAGCCTTGCAAGATTCATGCTGGTCGAATTTGGTTGTTGCTCCCTAAGTGTTTTAGGAGATATGTACACTTGTGCTCACATAATTAAG